AAACCTTTTCATTTTAAAACCTTTTCATATGAACATTAATATATTATGCTATTGTAATATGAAACATTTTCATTTTAAAACCTTTTCATATGAAACATGTTCATAACCAGTAATTTTTGATACAACGAACCTCAAATCATTCATTCATTACATAACAAGATAAAATCTTCATGAATGTTTCCAGCTTCATTGAATAAAAAAAAAACAAATCAATTTTTAATATTATAAAATATTAAAATCTTTAAATCATTCCATTTATATCATTTCTATTATTAAATTTCCTTATTTAATATTCATTAATAACTTCCTTATTTATGAAAAAAATAATGAAAATGACCAAAGGGACCTTATTGATTAAATTTAATTAAAAAATAATGGAATTTTTCTATTGGTCGATTTTGGTTTACACGGTTTTTTAGAATGACATGGTTTTCATTTGAACCTCCCTATATATATATATATATATATATATATATATATATATATATATATATTGGTTGGGTATGATAACAGTTTTCAGTTTCAACCTGCAACTCCTTCAGTCTGTAACACCCCAATCGCATGCGGCCACATTCCAAACCAAACTATTGATTATGTGTGCTCCAACCTTTTGACTCCTTAAGATCTTGAGCCTCTCTTGTTGCTGATTTCACAATCAGAAGACTCGATCATCCGAAGACTAAGCCGTGTTTGTTGGCAAAAATAACTACGATGGTTTTTGATACATTCTTCTGTAAATCTTTGCACCTTCATATTCTGCATGGATCTCTCTTTCAGTTCTGATCCCCATTGGATTACTCACTAACCATCCTTCGCTATCGCAGACCAAATTGGAGTCAACGCTGTCAATGTGGACAAGCTTCTCCGACTCTGCATCAAAATACTTTCGCATGTCGACTGCAACTTCAAACACGTCAGACTGTATAAACACCTGTTCCATATACATCATCTCGGTTATGTTGGTAAAATTGGCGCACAATATAAAACAAATCATGCTACTTTATATTTCACACAAGTATGGTCACTTGAAATGGTTACTAGAAAACACCAAATGCAAAAAACTTGTGACCATATTTTAATGGCATAACATACAACATATCCTCCAAAAAGAAAAAAAGTCATTCACCCTGCGGTATCCTGGTTACTGTTAGAGCCAAACCTCTGATCAAGGATTTGAACCTCACCAAAAGTTAGGAGTGTGCGTGAGTTTGTCATATATAAAACAGAGTAAACTGCCTTTTTGGTCCCTGTGCATTACCGATTTTCTTGGATTAGATCCCTACAACTTCTTATTGTAAATTTACCCCTGTAGTATGCATTTTTGCTCGGTTTTGGTCCCTCCCACTAATGCCTGTTAACTTCCATCTATAGAGGGCATTTTCGTCTTTTTCCATGTTGCCACTCTCTGAAAGATGCTTAGAGCATTCATCCTCTACCAAGTATATTTGTAGATTATATAGTGCGAGTATAAACATCGGATTTATGCAAGCGCGGAAGAGTATTTGGGTCTTGGACAATAACAACTTCTCTCATATTTATCTATTCTAAAAAGGTGAAAGCCGTATGTGCCCATCTTAGGTCATACTCCTTCCATCCCAAAATAGATCTCCAGAATGAAAAAGGCACAGTTTTAGGAATTTGTAATTATTATGCTTTTTACTTGACAAAAGAACAATTTTACCCTTAATTATAAAGAGAAACTTTCTCCATTATATAATTAAGGGTAGAATGAGAAAGTAGACATTACTTTTGAAAGTGTATACTTATTTTAAGACAAACTAAAATAGTAATGTAGACACGTATTTTGGGAGAGGGGGTAGTTACTTCCATCTGTCGACAGCGTATATATATTTCAGTAAACTTGGTCGTATATGGCAGCTAATTTGGGTGTGAATTTGATAAGTTAGGTAACTCTCTTTGAGTTCAGTCATTAGGGCACGTTTACTACACTGGACAAAACTGTACAAAAACTTCTCGTGCCTTACGTTTGGCACGACATCAGACTGGGACAGGACAAAACCTGAATGGGACACCTGTGCATTTTTTTTCTTTTACTGTCCCTACAATATAGGTGAAACAAAAATCAGAAAGATGAGACAAGATTGGTAAATTACTTAAAACTTCCGGGATTCTATCACCCACCTACCTCACTGTCATCCTAGCAGTCCGGTCAGCATACCAAACACACCCTTAGTGATTTGAATTGAGAGAGGTAGGGGAAAATGGTTCAGGTTGCCATACTCGAGAAACTATAGCATCATCTCTTATTTGAAAGACTTCCCTTATTATACCAGATATCCCACAATGCTGTTATCATTGAAGAAAATGTGAAAATGCATCACAGTTATCGCTATAGCTTAGTGCATCTATCACCAATGAGTGGCTCTTTTTCACTTAGGGTGCTGGCTAAGCCTTTTTAGTGATAGCATCATTCTTCTATTTATCGGTTCAGCGTATTGCGTATTTGGTATATTTTATAGAAATACCCAAATCAATGCAACAGGAGTGGAGCAGTAGATAAATATAATAAGAAAATATAGTTTTTTTTACCCAAGGTCTCAAAACTTATTTATTTATTTTTATTTTTTGGTAGTTCGTGGGTGTCCGGGCCAGCTAACGTGCACCTCAATTAATCCCAAGGTACCCTGAAGATAATAGCTAGAAAAATTCTCAATAACCGAGGAGACTCGAACTAGCAACCTAAGGGGAGGAGCCCATGGCCTAGCCATTATTTGTCAAGGTTAAGGTCTCAACTAGTGAATCAAAATTGGTTGCATGATCCAAAAGCATATCCTTCAATGCTGTCTCTTGAAAAGTCATTCCTAGACAATTTCCTTAGTAATATAAAAAATAAAAATACATGAATGAGGACGACCTTTATAGAGATATTATTTATATGCATGGATTTAAACACTTCAAGGAAGTGATATGAACTAAACAACAACTAATTGAAAAAAAAACTGAGCTCATTACCTGTCCTCCGGGCATTAAACCACTCACAATTGCCTCCACAAGAGGCTTCTGCACAATCCTTCTTTTATGGTGTCTCTTCTTGAAATGAGGATCCGGACACTGCATAGAAATCCAATAAAATTTCAAAACTAAGAAATTAACCGGTAGATTTGAAGGCCATTACTAGGTTAATATGTTGACTTGAATTACGCAAAGATTTAGGAACAGGAATACACGAACCAATATTGAAACCAACATCAAAGGCCCAGGGTATGTTGAAATGAGCTCCTTGAAGGAAATTGAGGCATTTGCGAAGAGAAAATGTCTGCATAAATGTGCATCAAATTATTTGAGCTCCTTGTGATTTTCAGCTAGGAAAAATAAATTTCCTAAGAGCTACCATAAGATGCCCATTTTGATGGATAAGAGTAAATTACATATTTGGTCCCCTATGCTTTACATGTTATAACATCTCAAGTCCCTAAAATAAAATTATTACGGATTTGAGCGTTGTGGTATGCATTTTATAACGACTTGTGTCCCTTGCCCTAATTCCGTTAAATAAATTCTGTTAAGTGAATTAACTGGGGGTATTTTTGTCATTTCACTTTTTTACAAGTTTCTTTTAAAAAACAAAAACAAATTATATTATATTGTCATATACTCTGTGTCACCGTTTTTGGTCCGTGTGTACCCTCACCGGCATCTTCAGAAGGAACTCCGGTATCGTCAAAACATCTACCTTCTCCGATTATCTTCATCGTTGTCAAAAAGTCACCAACCCTAGCATCGTCAAAAACGAACTCAATCCCTTCATTCACCGTCTCCTTCCTCCCCCTAGACCACCGACATCTTCTCCGGTGTACCGTCGCAACTGGATGCTCGAAGAGAGAGGTTGCAGGTGGTTTTGTAGCTGTTTTTCTCTGTGAACAGATAATGATCTTTAACCTGGAAGAAGAAGCAGAGGTAGCGATGATGGGTAAGAAACCCAACTTCTTCAACCCACATCCAACAGAACTTGAAACCCACCTCCTTCTACCTCTTGACATCAGTGTTTAAAGTATCTCTTACTCTTTCATCTTCATCTCCAAGATTAGTGCTTTATCAACAATTAGTAGAGGAATCTTTTATTCATTTCCATTGTCCGATAACATCAACACTATTCATATTCTGTCCAGTTTACACAAAATGGGATTCATTTTATGAAATATATTTGTTTTACCAGGTGGACAGGAACAGGGCCAGCAAGATTCATGATTCAGACTAATTACAATTTTTTTTAATTAAATCTAGATTGGTAGGCTTCACATTTAATATCAGTCCTTGTCTTCAACTACAAGCATTTATCCTCAGGTCAAATAGTTGTGTAGATGAATTTTTGTTGGTGGGGTTTCTGAACCAAATGAAGACAAAGACAAGGGTTTTAGGTATGTTTTAGAGAAAAAGGGAGATTAAATTCCAGAATGGGTTTTAACAGAGTGATCGTGATCTCTGGAAAAAGTGATTGTTAAATAAACATCAAGAAAACCCTAGAAACACTAATAATGATCTTAACAGAGTGATTGTCATCTCTTGGAAAAGTGGCACAATCGTTTTACGAGGGTCTTCAATGGTGATGAAAGGCGGGAGATGGAGATGGAAGATTTTGGGGGAGGTCAATCGGAGATGGGGGCGGTGAGTTGAGGAAGATGTCCTCCGACCTTCAATGTGTTTTTTGAGTGTTTTTATTTTTGTAAAAGAAAAAGTAAAAAGATCAAAGGGTCCTAAGAATTAGGAAAAAGGACCAAGGCGTTATAAAATGCATAGCACACGGCTCAAATCCGTAATTATTTCATTTTAAGGACTTGCGGCGTTATAACAAGACTCACGGACCAAGAATGTAATTTACTCTAATAATAATAATATTATTATTATTACTACAAGTTTGGTCCATGTTGTTTGTTGGTTATAACTAGGGGTGTGCAGAAAATCAACCGATCCAATTAGAACCGACCGACCATAATTGGATTGGATCGAATTGAAAATTTCAACATCTAATTTGGATAGGTCGGTTCTTGGATGACAATCCAAAACCGACCAAAACCATCCAGTTTAGTCCCGTCTTTCAAGATGATCGAGTGTTCCAATTCTCTAAGGAAGGGTAAACTCTTTGGCCACTGGAGAACCCATTGGTAGATATTAAGAACGCCTTGAAGAAACATGGGAACGATGGGGCTCTCCATAATCTCCGGTTGCATTTCCACTTGATTTGACGATAACAAATACCCCTTTCCTTTTTTAACTTGCATTTTCATCATATTCTTCAACGTTACATACATTTGATCTAGTGAGGGGTCCCTCAAAGGGTAACAGACTTACCATCGAAGAGAAATTTCATCACTAAGGTCTCCCAATTCGTAGTCACCGCTTCAAGTTTTTCCAACCACTAGATACCTTGTATCAAATCTGCATTTTCCAAGGTAAGAGGGAGAAAGTCTTAAGAGATATCTATTCCTTGAAGTTGCAAAAACACCCCATGGAATATCCCCTGCCCTTTAACAGCTTCTCCCAGTCCTAGAGTGACCTCAAACCCACCATTGTTGGTCATTTTTTTAACAATATCCACGGATATGAAATTGTGAGTAGCACCTGGGTCTATCATGACTATCACCTCTTCACCCCATATTGTTCCTCGCAACTTATGAGTTTTGGGATTATTAACACTTGTTAATTAAGTAACCTGGTTATGGTAATGTGTCCAAGCCCGATGGGCTATAGGGTTAGGGTTTCCTGTGTAATTATGTCTATATATAGTCTCTCCTCTTGTAAATTTGAATTTATCTGATTAATCATATAATAGAGAATTCTCTCTAATATCTCGGTCCTAGTTCTCTCTGATTACATGGTATCAGAGCCTAGGGTTTATCGCCGTTACTGTTCATCGCCGGAGTTACTGTTCATCGCCAGAGTTACTGTTCACGCCGGAACCCCCGCCGTCGCCAGAACCCTAGTCCACCACTGTCACGCCTCCACGCACCGGTGCGTGAGCCCTTTTCCGGCCTCCGACGACCTTCGACTTTTAGGGTTTTGGTCGGAATCCCATCTGGTTTGTTTTTCGGCATCTTTTTGGTCTAATTTTACTGTTATCTAGTCGCAACAGATCTGATCTCATCTGTTTGGTCAAACTCTGTTAATTGCTATCTGTTTAGTCTGGTTTCCTTTGATAATCTGTCCCTTGGGTGTTCGTTTCTGATTTGATTAATATGACGAACACTGATGATAAAGCCTCCGGTAGTACTCGTCTTGTAAATGAGCACCCCGCTGCTTCCACTGTTATGTTTGCTGAGACAGGTAACTCTGACAAATGCTTTGTATCATCCTCCTCTAAATGGGTCATTGATTCAGGTGCCTCAGACCATTGTGTGATCAAAATTACTGTCTGTGATCAAAATTACTGTCTGTGATCAAAATTACTCGCACTTTGAATTGTAGTGTCTCATTCTTTCCTGATCATTGTGTCTTTTAGGATTTGCAGACGAAGAGGATTATTGGTAGAGGACGGGAGTCGGATGGCCTATACATATTTGAACCACCCAAACCATATTCGTTGGCAAGTTCCAGTTCATCATCTCCTTTTGAAGTTCATTGTCGACTAGGTCATCCTTCCTTACAGAGTCTCAAGAACTTGCGTCCTGAATTTTCCCATTTACAGTATTTACAATGTGAGTCATGTCAGTTTGCCAAACATCAACGTGTTCACTTAAGTCCTAGAGTCAATAAGCAGGCYGCGTCCCCATTTCAATTAGTACATTCTGATGTCTGGGGCCATGTCCTGTAACGTCTAAGTCTGATTTTAAGTATTTTGTTACGTTTGTAGATGATTATTCTCGAACTACTTGGTTATACTTCATGAAAAATCGTTCAGAAATGTTTAATCATTTACGTTCCTTTCATTCTGAAATCCAAACTCAGTTTCAAACATCTATTAAAACCTTACGAAGTGACAATGCARAARAGTATGTATCCCAACAAATTCAATCMTATATGTTGCAAAATGGTATCCTTCATGAGTCCTCATGTGTTGATACTCCAGCACAAAATGGGGTAGCCGAACGAAAAAATCGTCACCTCCTTGAGGTTGCCCGAGCACTTCTGTTTTAGATGTCCGTCCCTAAGTCTTTTTGGGCCGATGCGGTATCAACAGCCTGTTTTCTTATCAATAGAATGCCGTCTGTTGTCCTGAATGGAGAAACTCCATTCTCTGTTTTGTTCCCAGGACAACGATTATTCCCTATTGAGCCAAAGATCTTCGGTGTTACATGCTTTGTTCGTGACACACGCCCCACTATCACCAAGCTTGATCCCAAATCTCTGAAATGCTGTTCCTTGGGTACTCTCGTCTCCAAAAGGGTTACAGGTGCTTCTCTCCCACTTTTAACCGTTATATTGTATCTTGGGATGTTACCTTCCATGAGAACATGCCGTTCTTCCCAATTTCCCCTCCGACTCCTTTAAATGAGAAAGATGATGACTTGTTGGTGTATACCATACCCACTCCTGAGTCCACTACTCAAGCCACCAGACCACCCATTGTTCATGTATATAATAGGCGCGAACGACCTCCTCTGTCTTCACCAATATCATCTGAGTCTGCAGATCCACCATCCCCAGAAGATGTACCTCCTGAAGCTTCTATACCCACTCCAGTAAATGAGGATCCTGATCTCGACGCTCCTATTGCTCTCCAGAAAGGTAAACGTTCCTGCACGTATCCTATTACTTCCTTTGTTTCTTATGATAAACTCTCCAGGTCATCTCGTTCTTTGGTCTCTACCCTTGATTCTATACCTATTCCATCTACGGTTGGAGAAGCTTTGACTCATCCTGGATGGCGGGATGCTATGATTGATGAGCTCAATGCTCTTGATCATAACACCACATGGGATTTGGTGGAGTTACCTGCTGGCAAAAGAGCAATTGGCTGTAAGTGGGTGTTTACTGTGAAAGTTAATCCTAATGGCTCGATAGCACGGTTAAAAGCTCGTTTAGTTGCAAAGGGGTATGCACAAACTTATGGAGTGGATTATTCTGAGACTTTTTCTCCTGTTGCAAAGATGGCGTCTATTCGGCTTTTCATCTCTCTAGCTGCTACCTATAATTGGCCTCTTCACCAATTAGATGTGAAAAACGCCTTCTTACATGGCGATCTGCTAGAGGAAGTCTACATGGAGCAACCCCCTGGGTTTGTTGCTCAGGGGGAGTCTGGGAAGGTCTGTAAATTACGGAAGTCGTTATACGGCCTAAAGCAATCACCTCGTGCATGGTTCGGTCGGTTCAGTTMTGTGG